AATCAGAAATATCATGCCTATCTCTCAGAATACTAAAGATGAAATAAGTTAACTCATCAAAAGGAAGATAATGGGCCAGCAGGTAGCCTGGTGGTTAAGGCACCAGATTCCACACAACTGACTTCATGGTTCAAGTTCTGGACCCAGCAACTTGAAAATTACACCATGTGTTTATGCATGCCCAAAAATCCTGAGAGGAGAATGGAGGAAAGTGACTGTGTCGTGGCCATCTGCCCTTGGAAGTGCTTTCTCACTTTCTCTCTAATCTCTCTCACTCACTCCCGGCAAGTACATGAGGCCTATAGCAAAAAAGAAAAACAAAAAAAGCACCAACAACAAAAAATAGCAAATTGTGAAATGACTAGAAAGGGGCTATAGAGGTAACTCCATTGGGGGTTTAAAATGTATCCATCCTAAGGTAATAAGAAAATCCAATTAAGGATTTCATGCAGAGGAGTATCAAGAAAACATCTGTATTTTGGAAAGATCTTTTTGAATAAAGATGGAAAAGCCCTGGCCAGGAGTCAGGGAGACTGGGTGGAAAGTTGAAAAGCCTAAACCATGTATAAGCAGTGGGCTGGACTCCAGTGTTTAGGAGGTAGAATCCACAGGACTCGGCCAATCATTAGACATGGGGAATGAGAGAGATGAGATAGTCAAGTACCTGTCATTAGGACTCCTACCAGTTTCTCCTGTTCTCTGTCCTCTCAGGAATACCCATCAGCTCTTTGAAGTTAGCTGTGGCTCTGTAACTTGTTCAAGTCATTAAAAAGTGAGATTATTTCTAACTGGTAGCTTAAAAGCCAGCAAGCATGCAATTCACCGTATCACAGATATCAACTGCAAGATGGCAGCTTTCTTTGTCAACCAGGATCCCACAGCAAAACTGACATGAAATAGAGCTCTTCTACCTCCTTCCTCAAACCAAATCTCACCTGACCAAGCAGAATAAACCTTTGCTTTTTAAACTACTGAGCTTTGGGGGATTGTTACTGCAGCATACTTTAGCCTATCCTCACTATCCATTAAGAAAATAATAAGTGTCATCTAGATATATATCTAGACAAGAACAGAATCAGAAATACAAGTTTAAAAACCAGTCTTACCAGCAGTGAGACCTGTAGATGCAAGATTACATTAAAAACATCAAAAACAACAAAAGGGAACCAGCAGGTGATATAACCGTTAAGACACTAGACTCCCACATGGATGAGCACAGTTCGAATCCCAGACCCTGCAGCTTGAAACTCACACTGGGTACATGTGCATGAGTACCCAAAAATCCCTAGAGAAAAATGGAGAAGAAAGGATTACGATGTGGCCATCTACCCTGGAAGGAGAGTGATTTTTCACTTCTCTCTCTGTGCCTCCAGCAAGCACATATGACCTATAGCAAAAATCTTTCTCTCAAAAAAACAAACAAACAAACAAAAAAAAACTTTACTTATTTCAACTTATTTACCTACAGAAATGATGAGTGCATTTTTAAAACAGAAAATTTTAAATATGTCCTTGAGAAATTACTTCCTATGGTTTAAAAACTAATATCATAAAGTGTGACATATATATTTTCTATTTTGAGAGTTCCAGAAGTCTAGTGTCAGCTTGCTTATCCCTTTCTGGCATATATGTGAAAAGGAAAGAACTACGGCTGAGGACAGATAGGAAGCAAAGAAAAACCCCTTAACTTCTTCCATGTACTCACCTTTTACAATCAGCTCCTGCATCTAAAATGTAAATAGCACTACCTCCACCATTAATAAAATAGCAAATGATTACTGAGAAGTGCCTATGTGCCAGGCAAAATACTTAATGCCTTCACTGCATTAGCTAGCTTATTTAACCCTCACAACTTTACTCTATTCCACAGGGGAGAAAAACATGGAGGTCACCCAGCATGGACTAAGTAAGGACTATTTTCAAAGCCTTTGGTGACCACTTCCCTTAACTTCTTTGAAATAAGCCCAGGGACTAGCAGTTACGTAATGGCTATGTCGCTGGACTCCCACGTAGTCGACTGCAGTTTGAGTTCCGGACTCGGTGGCTTAAACTCACGCCGGGTGCGTGTGCGTGCGTGCCCAAGATCCCGAGAGGAGAATGGAGAAGAAGGGATTGCGGTGTGGCCATCCCCCCTGGGGGGGTGATTTGTCTCTTCCTATCTCTCTGTCTCTGTCTGTCCGGTGAGCGCACGCGCCCTATAGCAAAAACCTCTAAAAAAAAAAAAAAAGAAAGAAGCCCAGACAAATGTCTTCAAACATGGGCATTGAGAAAATGAGCATTAACTGAAACTCAAAACAAACAAAAGCATGGATTTTTCTTTTTTTAAAGATTTACTATTGCTATAATTATTTTTTAATTTGACCAGAGAAAGACAGAAAGTGATGGAAAGTGAGAAAGCAAGCTGCCAGGTCCAGGAGTCCAACCATGTTTGACCATGTGGGAGTTAAGTCCCTTAACTGTGATGCCACCTGCTAGCTCCAATCATGTATATATTCAAAGACAGGCAAGAGAAACATGCCTGAAAAGGGGATAGCTGTGAGCAGAGGGGAATAAGATGAAATGAAGTTCTAAAAGGTAGAAGGAAAAATCAGACTGAAACCAACAGGGGCCTAAGCAAGGCTTTTTCTCTTACACATCCTCAGTATATTCTGGAAACTATGTTGATTGAAAGGCCTACTTCTGTAAGGCCTACAGTTCAGAATACTAGGAATGAACTAAGATATGACAGACCATATCCGGTGGCTTCACCACTTACAGCTATGAGTACGAATTTTATAGTTACGATGCACAGTATGAGCCGATCCTGGGTTCAAACTTCAGTTATACTTTCTTACAAAAACGGTGACAATAATATCTATTTCCAGTGGCCACTTTCCTTTTTTTTTCTTTCTTGTCTCTTGATCCCACAATGCCCAATTGAGATTGATCCCTGGTCAAGTTTGGTTTCATATCTTAAATTATTTCCAAGTAAAAAGTACAACTTTATACTCATGTATTTAATATGTAGATGAAACATTAAGAAAAACCTACCTTATTGTCAGTCAATAAACATATAAGTCCCTGCTCTATACTCATGACTACACTAGGCACTAAATACACACATGAAAGAAATAAGAGAGGGCCACAGGTAGAGACCCTACCATCAGACCAGACCACAGTTCAAAGTTTAACTTTGTCATTCACTTACAATCTTTGTGATCTGGGACACAGCAGAAAAAACAAAAAGCCAACAATATATACATGTTGATGTTAAGGCCAGACTCTGTTTTATATACTTATTTTAGGTAATCCTCTCAATAGCCCTATGAAGTTAGTACCATACTTTGTACATTTTACAAATAAAGTAAAGCACAGAGAGAATAAGCAACTTGACCAGTCAAGATTATAAGCAGACACAAGGACTCCACAGAACCAGTCCTGTGCTGCTGCTAATTAGTAGACAACAATCTATAAAGTGTGCATAATCACCTTCTGCAGGGCTGGTTTAAGGATTAGGAATAACATGTGGAAAAAGAGCCCAGAATAATAGTTGGCATACAGTAAATGGAAATGAAAAGGAACAAGGAATTATTCCGGAAGACAAAGCAAACCAACAGAATGAATCTGTATAGGCTCCTTGGCCCCAGCCTTCTCTCAAAGTCTTGGGACAACTACTGTAACTCATGGTTGGGTCAAAGTTTGTGCTTGTAACTTGTACTAGGAGGCTGTAAAAAGAAAAGATTTAAGGCTGAAATGAAACTACTATAAACACCAAATCTAATCTCCACAAAACCCCCTCAATTGGTTCCACCGCCTCCACCAAACATTTGCAGTTGCTGCTGCAGTTTGACAGAATCAACAAGAGAGTTAGCGAACGAGATTCAAAAAAACAAAAAAGAAAAATATTTTAATTTCATCATGGTTAGAATTATGCCTAATACAAAACAAGAAAGTTTGCAGAGCTGAATATTTTGAATAAAACAATATATCAAAATCACTAAGATAAATAAAATATTATTTCCTATAGATTTTAATGCTATATTTCTATACTTTAATACTCTTTAAAGTACAGGTGAATGATTGAGTTCTTGGAACTCTGTAGATGAATTCTTTGCAGTTAAGAATCATTGAATTTCAGGAACTCAGAAACCTAGATTATCCTAACTCTTCACTTCAGGACAGAGCAAACTGGAGTCAGATACTGTTAGTAGTCTCCAGAAATTGTAAAGTTTATAAAGACCAAACTCGAATTAGAAGGTCTCCTCACTAGCAGTGTTTCTATCCTAAATCAGTTGCATGGAGAAGCACACTAGCTATAGAAACCTAAAGACAGAACACAGGGATACAAGAGCAAAAACGAGTCTAAAAAAGTGCATATAAAGGAAAACATATATTCACTAAGCAGAAAGATTATCTGTCCTATTTTGTTTTATTCACTACTCAGTGATTTCAAACTGAAGTTCCTCCAAAGATCAACAAGACTGTCCTTACTGTATCAAACTACTTGAAGAAAAGGCCTATAACCAATTTAGAAAATTCCAAAATCTGGAGTCAGCAGCTATGCCCTCCACTGTTTACTTAGACGCTTCCTTCAGCCCCAAGTCGCTTAAAAGTTAAGATACAGGGTGTATTATTTGCAGGCAAAAAAGAAAACTAAGTTGAATGTGAAGACTTACTGCCTGTTGCCAAAGCTGCTACGGAAGCAAGATGACAAATGTTAAAAATGGACATCCATTCATGTGTCCTCTGCCCCACGGTTAAAACGGCCCTTCATTTCAAACTTTCGCCCCAAAAGAGAACAGTTCTTTTTCTTACCGAGCTCCAGCTGAGGCATGGACTAAGATTTCTTTTATTTCTGTGATCGATTTCTCAGGCTACGACCACAACTCCTGTCAATGTCACTTCTCTGCTGTTATTTATCTCATGATGCGCCCTCACAGAGCAGTCATTAGACCACTCAAAAAAAAAAAAAGAAAAGAAAAAAGACTTGGAGAGGGGCAGGCCAACGGGAAGTCACTTACCGAAAACACTGCGTTCTGAAGCCCAAAAGGGATGGGGGTCAGTCTGGCCAGCGCCACCACTTTCAGGCCGCTTCCTCCCTCCACCACGCGAATAACAGCGCTCAGCTTCTCGTTGCTCTGGATCTTGGCGGCCACCCAGGCGGTGAGCAGCCGCTTGCAGACCACATGGGCGATGAAGGTGCCGATGAGGACGCCCACCACCATCAGACCCATGCCCAGCACGAAGCCGTACAGGTAGCCTGCGGCCACGTTGAGCACGATGTAGCCCCAGCCACAGGGGAACGAGACCACGATGAAGCCCACGACGAAAAGCAGGACCCCTAACAGCGAGTCCAGGCTCTCTACCCAGAGCAGGAGGTGCTGCAGGTAGCGGCGGACCAGGGCCAGGGAAGCGAAGCACAGGGCGGCCAGCACGCAAACCAGCACCAGC